CCCCCTATCTCTCCCATACCTTTTCTCCCCCCCCCCAGACCCCTCTGTCTCATCTTCTTCACTTCCCCCATCAGCCCTCCCTCTTTTCCTCCTCCCACTCCCCCTGGGTTTCTAGGGGTGGTGTGGGCAGATTAGAGCTATCCCCCTCCCTACTTTTCCATTCATCCAAGCTTTTGACAGGAGCAACCCAGGAAGTTTTAACCTCCGGACAGAATCCCATTGGTAATTTTCACAAAGGGGACGCGCCTGTGCAAGAGACTGGGGAGATCAGAAACACTAAAGGTCCAACTGTCCAGTGTGCAAACAGATGCCAAGGAGGCCAGCTAGTTGGTAACTACAAAGAAAAAAGGGATGGGTATGTGTGGGGAGAGAGGATATATGGGAAGAGCATTCCTATTTGGGAAAATGCAATCTTCCCCCAAGGTTTGGGGGAAAGAGTCTGTCTCTCCCTTCCTCTTGCATTCACCCATCTATTGCCCATTTTGGAAAGCATCTATCCCCCTCCTTCCTTCATCCAACATTCCATCCTTCCCCTCCATCTCCCTGCCATTTCCTCATGACTAAATTAATCCTGGATGAGGCAGGTTGGGGGAATGGGGTGAAGGGTTCCCTATATCTGGAGACAATGAGTCCTTCAAAGGCAGAGCTGGGCAGAATCCTGGTGTGGAAATGAGAATCATTTGGCTAGTTTTGATAGACAGAGAAATAGGAAATTGCCCAGACCAGAAGGAGGTGGGCTTCCTGCAACCAGATGACCTACCTCTATAGAATAGAATATCATTAAAATACAGAAGAATCCAGTGAGAGCAGGAGAAGAAAATTGTTTACGGTTCAACTTGTATCTTGGGTTCAGATTGCTCTTGTAAATCAATTATTTTGTGAGGGTATGCCTGTGCATAGGAATTGTGGGCAGAGTTGACATGGTAAATATAGGAGGCTTATATTGTTGGCATCCATGTTTCCAATTCCCTTGTGAGCAACCAAGAATATTTAGGGAGATGAAAACATGCATAGAAGATCTTTGTGCCAGTTGCTGGGCAGGTACTGGAGCCCCAGAGAACCTTTGGTGCCCCAGATCTTCTACACCTGGCTGGAGACCCTAACCCATGCAACCTTCAGTGTGTCTCTCCAGATGCCATCTTCTAGGGGTCTTAAACATGAGCCAGGGGGTCCTTTCCCCCCAGAATGCCTTCCTGATGGGGCAGGCATGTGGAGAGAATGTTGGACAGATGTCCAGACCAAATCTACAGGGGCTGATTCATTCCAAAGCTTTTGCCAGGTCCCTCAAAGGGAAGGCTGATGTCCTCACACTCAATTAATGGAGGAGCCTCCTCAACACAGTCCAGTAAAACCCTAAACTGGCCCAGTAAAATCTACTGCTTATTCCCCTCAGCTTAGCCCTGTGATGGAGATGGCTAGATTTGATAAAAGATTCAAGAACTGGACACTGAATGAGTAGATTGGACTTCTCTGAGGCCCTGATGAGGCCCAAATTCCTCAGCCTTCCCTCTTCTACTCCCTCCCTTCTTCCAACATGTGTGAAACATGAATCATCATGATCTAGAAAGGAGTACCCTTTCTAGATTCCCACCTTGGGTGGGGCTGGAGGTTGTCCCACAGGGCTGCTAGCACACTTTGCAGGAGACCAGGGCTCTTTTTCCAAGGTTCTCTTGGTGTCCTGGGCTCCTGAGATGTGATCCCAGAAACTGGAGGAGGGAGGGTTGTTGTCTTGGTGATGGAAGTCTTGAAGCAATTTGTTTCCTTGTTAATTAACTTTCCCTTCCTCCTCTCCCCTCCATCACACACACACACACACACACACACACACACACACACACACACACAC